ACATACAAATGTTGTCACTGAAGTACTATTTCAAATCAAAAATAAGAAAAAAATTAGAAGAAACTGATCTGTAATTCATTTGGAGATATTTATCTATAATTTGAGCTTGAGGTTCACACTTCCTATTTGATCATTTGGAAGTTATCTATTATAGAATAGATAAATGTTCTTTTTTAAACTGGAGGGATGGTCTGTGAACATTTCTTAGGTCTGAATTATCAGGATCCCTAACTGTCTACATCCTGAGATCAGATTTTGAGAAAAATGAAAGAATAAATTGGTTTTAGGAGTGTGATATTACTCTTGAAAGTAAGCTTGATGAATGAAAAGAAATCCCAGAAGAATTTCAATAGTTACTCAGTGACAATAATGTGATAGAAACTGTTATTCCCAGACAATGAAAAAAGCTCACACCTTCTTTTCAATAGTGACTGGAAAATCCTTGATTATAGACATATCATAAATATAGTCCTAAAATAACTGTTGGGAAAAGAGCATCTTGTTTTCTTTGCTTATATCCTGAGAAACAAGAATGATTGCCATTTTAAAACACTGTTCCTATGAAGTTGTAACTTACATGACTATGTAGCTCTGGAAGTAAGCTGGAATCCAAGGATCCAAGAACTCACTGATCTTATCACAGAAAGCAAATGCTCACAGTAGGACTGCTCTGTTTCCAGACTTTCTGGCTGTCCAGTTCCCTAAGTTTTTATGATCCTTATTTTTTTTTTCCTTTATTCATGCTCTTCTATTCATTTTTTTTTTTTGCTTTAAAATTAATAGAGATTTGACATGACATTTTGGGATGAATTTTAAAGGACAAAAGTGTTAGGTAAGTGTTAAACAGAATTTTACCAATTGAGGAATCATATTGATTCTCTTTTACATTGCATAACTCTCTGAAAACCTGGGATGACAGAGGTCTCAGGAATATTCTAAAAACAATTCATTTAAAGGAATATAAAACATGGTACTAAGAGAATGGTTTGGCTTTCTTAAGTCCCCTTCACCTGATTTACAACCTAACTGGCAAAAAAAGAGAAAAGATAGAAACCTTATAAAGCGTTGAAAAAAATGACCTTTCATTTTCATTATCTTTTTTCTCACATAAAAGTTATTTTTTAGTAGACAAATTTAGAACAAAAGTATGGAATATCTATATTTATGTGAAGTCAACAGAGATTATTGGGGAAAGTTTCATAAACATAACTAAGGAAGAGGATCACAACGAGTTTTTGTCATTTCAAGAGCATGAAAGTGTTCTGAGTGATGGTCATTTCATAAAATGTTTATGAGTTTTGTGTTCCAGGCACCAGAGGGCATCATAATGCTTGGGCATAGGACGATTTGCGATTAACCAGGTCACTGTGTGCAAAAGTTGAGAGGAAAGCTAATTCATCCCAATCTACTTTCAGTTTCATGAAGCCCATTACTTGATGTCATCTATTTTCAAAATTCAGCCTTAAATTTAATATCAATGTCTCTGTAAGCAAACATTGCAATTAAGACATAAACCCACTGAATGCAGCCCAACAATTTGGTTTTGATATTCCTGGTGTAGTTTTCCACACATCTTTAGGAGTAGCAGGGACAGGAAATCTCCTATGGTGTTCAATTTCATTTCAAGTGTTTAGAAATGGTCACAGAAGGAACCATCATTTCACTGAGCTACTGAGACAGGTAAAGTAGAATGGTAATGAAAGAGAAGGAAAAAGTTGAAATGAAGGCTTCTGAGGAGCAATTCAAGGAAGATGGGTGTGTGAAATCCTACAACTAAATCACAGAAACAGTTGCAAAAGATAAACTGAGGGATGTCTAAAAAACGTTTAACTCTGCTGAACAAGGATATTGTTGGGTAATTGTTTATATTACTAGTATGGGCTATGAGAATAGAATCAGCAACTAAAAAGCAACTATGTGGCAGGATGGAAAGAGACTATCCATATCATAAGCATGGAGTTTCACAAGGGCAGAGTATGAGAAAGAAATCAATCTTTTATTGCCTTGACTATAAACCTAATCCTAATCCCACTCTCTCTCAGCTAGTCCTTACCATGCCTGCCTCACTGATTGTGCTCAACATACTCATAATTCAGTAAATTTTTTTAATATTAAAATCAACTGGACAATAAGTTGATCAAACTCAAACATGAATGCAGTAGTGCTTAAAGTATATTCTTTGATTAATATGGATTGTCCTCAAAAATCAAGTTGTTGTTTTTTTTTTAATTTTTTATTTATTTGCGAGAGAGAGAATGAGAGACAGAGAGCATGAGAGGGAGGAGGGTCAGAGGGAGAAGCAGACTCCCTGCTGAGCAGGGAGCCTGATGTGGGACTCCATCCCGGGACTCCAGGATCATGACCTGAGCCGAAGGCAGTCGCTTAACCAACTGAGCCACCCAGGCGCCCCTCAAAAATCAAGCTTTATGGTTAAATAACTTTATGACACTGGACTACACTAAAAACACTGCCCACCTCCCAGTGATGTTTCAGAGGTATTAGGTTCACACACACTGTTACTCTTCTAGGGCAATAGAGTAGACAGCATTTCCCGAATGTCTTCTATGACTATCCCCAGTTTTTAAAGAGTTTACTAGGGAGCATGATCTACAAAATTTTGATTCCAGATGAGTTTTTCAAAAAATAAGTTATAATATTTCTCAAACAGAAAAAATAACAAATTTTAGTAAGAATCTACTGTTTCTCCTCTTTTCATCGATCTGTTTGTTTTCCCTTCAACTCATTGGACACATGCCAACTTCTCTTCCAATTTCTGCCACTGAGGGAAAAAAAAACCCTCTACCCTGCCTCATTTTGGAAAGATGTTCAGAGGAGAAAAAATGAAAGTAATTGATATTTTCTTTCCTTGAACTGGGATTAATTAAAACATACACCAGGAATATCAACACAATAAAAATCAGAACATTGGATTGGAAATTAGTGGTTGGATTTCTAGGAAGAGTGAGCTAGTGGCCCAAGTATTAGTTCAATCTCAGAAATAGCACATGGTAGTGATTTCTGGGCTCAACTAGTTTAAGACATTGTCTGATGGCAGCCTGTGAATACAGATGAACACAGCAAATTGTGTACTGTCTCAGGACTGCTGAAGCCAAAACTAATAAATTTTCCTAAACTCTGCTGAACCAGCATATTAGAAACACACTCCACAGACAATATTCTAACTTAGAAATAAAATATATTACACCAAAAAGTATTTCAGATGCCCAAACCTTAAATGAATGATTGTATAAAGTTAAGGGGTTTTGTTTCTTAGAAGAGCATCTTCATCAAGAACATAGAAAAGAAGAGTGTGGACAGGGAATAAGCTGGCATCCTAGGAGGCTTTTCCATTCCTAGCTCTGTGACCTTGGCCAAAGCAGCACTAGATGGCTATTGACTCTGTGTCCTTGCTTATAAAACTGGAGAATAACTCCTACTTAACCAACCATGGATATGTCCTGACAATCAATCATAAAATTTATAACACGATAATAAATGATAAAGTTCTATATGCATGTTAGTTACTAACAGAATGTAAGCTTTTGCTCTCTCTTTCTTCTTCTCTCTCTATGTGTGTATATGTGTAGATCTATGTAGGTCTATCATCTATCTCCACCTGCATTTCTATGGATCTATGTATCTCTGTATCTATCTATATATCTATGTATCTATCTATGTATCTATCTTATCTATCTATGTATCTATCTTCTCTTCCTCTCTCCCTCCCTTCAGCCCATCCTTCTTCCTTCCTTCTTTCCTTCCTTCCTTCCTTTCCTTTCCTTTCCTTTTCTTCTTCCTTCCTTCCTCTATCCCTGCCTCTTTCTTTCTTTGTACCTTGCCTTGCCTCTCCTCTCCTCTCTCCTCCTCTCTTCCTCTCTCCCCCTCTCCCCTCCCCTCCCCTCCCTCCCTCCCTTCCTTCCTTCCTTCCTTCCTTCCTATTAAGTTCCTTATTGTTATACTTTTATATACAAACAAATGTATCAGTAACTCTTTTCTGGTTTTGGAAGATGACTATAAATGTGTAGGTCATTTCATTTTTCCTTTTAATATTGTGCAGCTTCCCAAGATTTTGTTAAAAAATTATGGTGAAAAGCTAAAGAGAATAATTTATATGCATCAGCTTTCTCCCAGAGCCCCACTGGATGATCAAGCCTACATTTCTTTTCTTCTTTATGTCCTGCTGGAGAAAATAAAAGCATAATTAGATTGGTTAGGGCTTATATTTTATACTGTCACCTAATTTTATAATAGAACAGGTACAGTTGGGGCAGTGAAAGACAAAACATGGAAAGAAGTCATTTAAACTGCGGAGCAGCATGGTCGGCGTGCATTTGGCCCTGCTTGGTATTGCTTGCACTGACTGCATATACCACCAATGTGTACAGCATATGAGATAATCAGGAAGAACAAAGCACACTTCTGCTGCTCTGAAGGAACAATAGTCAAATACGTAAATGTGAGGCCTGGAAGATCTGAGTTAGCTTGTTTAAACGTGTCACACTATGGTTGCTTGACTTTAGCACAATGGGCTCAAGCTCTTTACATTTATCGGGAGGAACTCTGTGAAGTTGATTGTGAAGGTCTCCTGCAAAGAAGGAAGGGCTCACCTCAAGACCCAGGAGACCCTCCATGATTATCAGTATTCCAGACTGACTGAGTAGTGGCTGGCCTTCCTCTCTTCCTTCTACAGGGATTTCCTGAACATTTGCTCTTGTACCACACACTGTTACAGGTATTAGGGATATAATGGTGAACCAGGCAGATACTGTCCCATCTTCATAGACCTTATATTCTAGTAGAGTCGAGAGTGAAACAATGGTACACTAATAAAATTATACAAGTTGTTATACATGTTAGGAAGGAAACTAATAGGGGTGGAGACAACAACTAGAAAGGGGTGGTTCCTTGGATAGGTTGATCATGGTGGGTCTTTCTGCGGAGGTGAGACTGAAATTAAGACAGAAACATAGGTCTTAGATTAAGACATAAACCTAGGCTCATTGAACGCTGGGCTAAATCGCCAGACGGCTGATTTCTTCTCAAGCCGGGCCGGGCCCACACAGAAGCAACCATGTCTAAGGGACCTGCAGTTGGCATTGATCTTGGCACCACCTACTCTTGCGTGGGTGTCTTCCAGCATGGGAAAGTGGAAATAATTGCCAATGATCAGGGAAACCGAACCACCCCAAGTTACGTCGCCTTCACGGACACCAAACGATTGATCGGTGATGCTGCGAAGAATCAAGTTGCGATGAACCCCACCAACACAGTTTTTGATGCCAAACGCCTAATTGGACGTAGATTTGATGATGCTGTTGTCCAATCTGATATGAAGCATTGGCCTTTTATGGTGGTGAATGATGCTGGCAGGCCCAAGGTCCAAGTAGAATACAAGGGAGAGACAAAAAGTTTCTATCCAGAGGAGGTGTCCTCTATGGTTTTGACGAAGATGAAGGAAATTGCAGAGGCCTACCTTGGAAAGACTGTTACCAATGCAGTTGTCACGGTACCTGCATACTTCAATGACTCTCAGCGTCAGGCTACCAAAGATGCTGGAACTATTGCTGGTCTCAATGTACTTCAAATCATCAACAAGCCAACTGCTGCTGCTATTGCTTATGGCTTAGACAAGAAGGTTGGTGCTGAAAGGAATGTGCTGATCTTTGACTTAGGAGGTGGCACTTTCGATGTGTCCATCCTTACTATTGAAGATGGGATCTTTGAGGTTAAATCCACAGCCAGAGACACCCACTTAGGTGGAGAAGACTTCGACAACAGGATGGTCAACCATTTTATTGCAGAGTTCAAGCGCAAACATAAGAAGGACATCAGTGAAAACAAGAGGGCAGTTCGTCGTCTCCGTACTGCTTGTGAACGTGCTAAGCGTACACTTTCTTCCAGCACACAGGCCAGTATTGAGATTGATTCTCTATACGAAGGAATCGACTTCTATACCTCTATTACTCGTGCCCGGTTTGAAGAATTAAATGCTGATCTGTTCCGTGGCACCCTGGACCCTGTAGAGAAAGCCCTTCGGGATGCCAAACTAGACAAGTCTCAGATCCAC